GGAAGGTCAAACATTAATTTTAGGTTTAAAAAAGGGGAGAGGTAATTTTATCTCTTCACTATCCTTTTATTTTTTTTTTCCCTAAAATCCATGGAATTAAAATCCCAGGGCATGGGATTTTAATTCCATGAAAATGAGGGAATTGCAATTCCATGAAATTGTAATTCCTTCTAATCAAACTAAGGAATTTAGAAGCTTTTATAATTATGTAAGAATTACGAGGGAAGAGAATTTAAATTTCCTCCAACCAAACGCCCTGTTAAGATTTTATATGTCAACAAAAAATAGTTAAAGAATTTAGCTAAAAATAGCCATTTTGAAGATAAGGGAAAAAAAGGAGTCATTTTCCCTTTTCTTTTATTTCATTTTCTATTTTTTATTGTCTATTTTCTATTTACTAATTCAATGGGTAGAAAATACTTTGCCAATGCCAGTTTTTTTTTTTTCTTTTTTTTGTTTTCCTTATCCAAAACATTGCAAGTTTTTTTTTCTTGTTAGTAAATACACCAACCAAAGTGGAAGAATAAAATGAGAAACTGTTTGGTAATCATAAAGTTTTAAAATTGACTCCCTATGAAAATTGTCCATTAATTTTTTCGGTTTAAACCATTGAGCTATTTGACAACTTAAACTGGTTTATCTCTTTTGTAATCCTTTACCCCTAGGATTACAAGGTGGGCTTCAAAGAATAAAACCAGAAGCGTAACAATGCAATAGCATAAAGTTAAATGACATTGGCCCTGTTTGGTAAATGGTTTTAGCGGTTAGCTGATAGGGTTAATTAGAGGATATAACTAGTTGATAACATTAACTGATTGTAGAAATGTGTTTGGTAAATTAGCTGATAGCTCTTTGGTATAATTTCTTTCCTCCAAAAGCTAATTGAAAACGTTGCTTTGAACAGTTTTTTGAATTTTAGCATTTTAGAGTTACAAAAAGCTAATTAACTATTTTATTTTTTAAGGGAAAAGGTACAAATAGGCCATTGAACTATTTGGGGGATAGCAATTAAGCCACCGAACACGAATAAGCTCCAAATTGATCTATGAACCTGCCAAAAAAAAAAAAAAGTATAATTAGCATTTTTAGTAGATTACCAACAAGTTTGTGATGATTAGGATGTCATGTGTATTTTTTATTTTTTATTTTATTATTATTATTATCATACTAAGCATTTGACTCAAAAAAAAAAAAAAAAAAACTAAGTTAAACTATTAAACTATTATTAGTATTTCTAGAATCATTCACAATACCAAAGACCACATGATTATGTTTAATAATATTAATATTAATTTTAATAGTATTAATATATTAATAATTAATAATTTATATATAGATCAATATATAATTTCTAACGCCTCCCCACTGCATCTCCATGATGCTCGTAGCAGCAATGGATATGAAGAGAGACATGAAAATAATACTCCCGTAGTTACTGATCTGCAGGAGAAACGAATAGTTAAAGAATTATGTCTACCTGTGAGTATTATTATTATTATTGTTATTGTTATTCTTGTATATACTATAGTTATATAGTTTGTGATGTTAGACTTAGTCTCAATGTAATAGCTTATCTATTAGGAGTGTTTAGAGGTGTAGTCTGATATACACTCTGTAATCTCTTTGAGTTGTAACTGATTTGGAATTATCTCTCTCATCTGGTATCAGCCTAACCCGATCATACCTTCTCTCTCCTAGCCGACTACCACCGTGAAAAATTCCCCTCCCTTCCCGTAAGAAACAAACCTCCGAGTTATGTCATCCAACTCATCGGAAAGAACCGTTTCCGCCGCCGGTGGCTCCACTCCAAGCGGCATGAACCCCCTATCCGGCGCACACCACTTCATTTTGATGAAGCTAACATCGCGTAATTTCCTGTTTTGGCGGACTCAACTCATCCCTTTTCTACGAGGACAAGACCTCATCGGATATGTTGATGGCAGTACACCCTGCCCGGCTGCTACACTGCATGTGCCCGCCGGTGAATTCGGCTCCGGCACCACCACTGTGGAGTCCGTTCCCAACCCAGCCTATAAGGCGTGGGTGCAACAGGATCAGTCGATCCTGTCTCTTTTGATATCGTCGATGGCCAACGAAGTCCTTCATCTCGCAGTTGGCCGGAACACTTCCACGGAGGTATGGCGATCCATTTGCACCGCGTTGGGTTCCAATACTCAGGCGAGGTGCCTCAATCTTCTTGGACAGTTCCAAGGTCTACGGCAAGGCGGTTCAACTTCGGCAGATTACGTCGGGCGGGCGGAACTCCTCGTCGAGGCTTTAGCGCAGGTCGGGCAGCCTTTATCACTAGCGGAGCAGAACCTGTACGTGTTGAGAGGACTGGGCCCGGAGTACAGGTCTTACGCCGCGTCGCTCACCGCTCAGTCGCCGGTCTCCCTGCCGCAACTCGCCAACTATCTGCAAGCCGCGAATTTTATTTTGTCTGATGATTATCCGCAGGTTGATGGTGGCAGTACTGGTTCGCACGCTGCCATGTATGCAGGCCGTGGACGAAATAGTGGCGGCAGTGGAGGATCGCAGGGCGGCAGTGGAGGCTCGCATGGTGATGGCGGACGCCGGGGCGGATCGCATGGCGGTCGTCGTGGTGGACGTGGCGGTAGGGGTGCGCCTCGTTGTCAGATTTGCAAGGCACTCGGGCACACCGCGTTGTACTATTACAAAAGGTACACGGGTCAGCCGCCTACACAAGCCCAAGTCGCCGTCTCCGGTGACGCACCGGCACCTCCGGCCGAAGCCTGGTATCCGGACATGGGAGCTACCGCGCACGCTACTCCGGATGCCGGCATGATGACGTCATCAGAAGATTATGGGGGCTCGGATACGCTCCGGGTTGGAAATGGTACAGGTTTGGTTATCTCACGGGTTGGCCATCCATCCCTTCCGCGTCTAAACAGTTGTTTCTATCTGATATTTTACATGTGCCTAAATTGACCGTTCCATTACTCTCTGTTCAAAAATTTGCTAATGAAAATAGAGTTTTCTTTGAGTTTCATAACAATTGTTTCTTTGTGAAGGATTCCAAAACCAAAACGGTGCTCCTTAAAGGTCCCACATCTAGAGGTCTATACAAGCTACCTGTGTCTTGGAGTCATTTCGCATTTGTTAGTTCCGGGCTATACAGGTGGTTTGGCATCGCAGGCTTGGTCATCTACACAGTGTCGTCCAAAATAAAATCCTCCAACAGTGCTCGGTCAATTCTAATAATTTGTCCACTTTAGGCTCATGTACGGCTTGCCACCTCGGAAAGTCTTCCCGTTTTACATTAGATCGAATTGATAGTTCTAGTCAAAATGTTCTAGATCTTTTGTATACGGATATCTGGGGCCCGGCTCCCGTAGTCTCGTCTAGTGGTTTTCGTTATTTCTTGTTATTTGTCGATGACTACTCTCGGTTTTGCTGGTTTTATCCATTAAGGGTAAAATCAGACATTTATAAAATTGTTGACGTGTTTCATGTGTTGGTAGAGCGGCAGTTTTCGCGCTCTATCAAGTATATTCAATCTGATTTATGGGGTGAATACTGCAAATTACACAACACGTTCCAAACACTGGGTATAAATCACCGTCAATCATGTGCTTACACGCACGAACAAAACGGGCGAGTAGAGCACCGTAATAGACACATTGTTGAAACGGGTCTAGCTCTTCTCGCTCAAGGGTCTGTTCCACTCCAATATTGGGACTATGCTTTTGAAACAACTACGTGCCTAATTAACTATCTTCCATCTTCAGTCTTAAAGTTTGAAAGTCCCTACTCCCGACTATACAAAAAGCCACCACCCTACCAATTCCTTTGTGTCTTCGGGTGTCGATGCTACCCTTATCTAAGGCCGTACAATCTCCATAAGATGGAGTATCGTTCGACACCCTGTGTCTTCCTAGGTTACCCACCGTCCTATAGGGGATACAAGTGTATGGACCTAATCAGTGGGAAAACTTATATCTGTCGCCATGTGCGGTTTGATGAATCTTCTTTTCCCTTTGTCACAGATATACCATCACAGGTCAACGAGCTTGCATCCGTACCGTGGGCCGCTGGGGCCATAATTCCCAAGAACATGGTGCATCCAGTGACAATTCAACTGGCTCCTCAGTTATCTATACCTCTAGCTCAGGAGGGCCCACACTTAGCCATTGAACCGGTCACCCGACCCTCCCGGGGCCGACCTCGGGGTCGGGCTAAACAGACACAACCCCAGGAACGGGGACATGTCATGCGGCTACGCCACATGACTCATGGCTCGAATGAGGAGTTCCAGGCTCTGACGGCCACAACTGATCTCACCTGTTACTCCAAGGCAGTAGGGCATCCGCAATGGCGGGATGCTATGGACCAGGAGTTCAATGCGTTGCTCCATAACAACACTTGGCGTCTGGTTCCAGCCGAACCCACTATGAATATCATCGGCTGTAAATGGGTGTTCCGCACCAAATGGACTGCTGATGGTGCAGTTGATCGCTATAAGGCACGCCTTGTGGCCAAGGGTTTTAATCAAGTAGCTGGGGAATACTTTTTTGACACTTTCAGTCCAGTCATCAAACCCACTACAGTTCGCATACTTTTTTCTTTTGCAGTGACTAACAGATGGACGCTCAGGCAGTTGGATGTTCATAATGCCTTCTTAAACCGGCATCTAGCTAAAACAGTCTATATGAAACAACCCCAGGGTATGAAGACCCAGCACATCCTGATCATGTCTGTCTCTTACAGCAGTCACTCTATGGGCTTAAGCAAGCTCCGCGGGCATGGTTCAAACGGCTACACGACTTCTTACTATCTACAGGTTTTTCCTCATCGAAGACTGATGTTTCTCTCTTCTACTACACTACTGAGGGCTCAAAGGTCTTTCTCCTGGTTTACGTTGATGACATCATTATGATGGGTAGCGACGCCGCCTTAGTCAATCATTTGCTAGGCCGCTTGGCCTCCACCTTCAAGATTCGGGATCTTGGCAAACCGGGATTCTATCTCGACGGCGTTATATGACGGATTTGTTGAACAGGTCTGGAATGGTTGACTGCAAACCACTTACTACACCTGCGTCGGTCTCTCAGCCGGTCACCCCATCCGATCAACCTTACGAGAACCCAACACAGTATCGTTGTATTGTTGGAGCATTGCAGTATCTAACCATCACTAGGCCAGACTTAGCGTACGCTGTTAACCGCCTATGTCAGTTTATGCACTCACCCACGATTGACCACTGGGCCATGGTCAAACGCGTGTTGCGGTATATCAAGGGCACTCTTGACTATGGGTTGCACCTTGTAGCGTCACCGACTTCTACTATTCATGCCTATTCAGACTCTGGCTGGGCTGGCTGCCCGATTGACAGGAAAAGCACGAGTGGGTATGTTGTCTTCTTAGGGTCTAATCTCGTTTCATGGCTCTCTCGGAAGCAGCGCACGGTGGCCCGCTTATCCACTGAAGCCGAATATAAGGCCTTGGCTGACGTTGCAGCTGAAGTTACTTGGGTTGTCTCCCTGTTACGTGAGCTAGGGTTACATGCTGGCCAGCCGTCCAACCTATGGTGTGATAACTTGGGAGCAACGTATTTATGTGCGAATCCGGTTTTTCACGCTCGGACGAAGCGTGTTGAGATCGACTATCATTTTGTTCGTGATAAAGTGGATTCAGGTGACTTTGTGGTTAATTTTGTCTCGACCAAGGACCAGCTTGCGGATATCCTCACCAAGCCACTCACAGGGCCTAGGTTTACTACTCTACGGGACAAGGTCAATGTTGTGGCTCACCAACCATGTTGTTGTTGTTGTTGTATATACTATAGTTGTATAGTTTGTGGTGTTAGACTTAGTATCAATGTAATAGCCTATCTCTTATGAGTGTTTAGAGGTGTAGTCTGATATACACTCTGTAATCTCTTTGAGTTGTAACTGATTTGAAATTATCTCTCTCATCCTACCAACACAAAACAACACTCACCGTATATATGCATCTATATAGAAATTATTAATTATTAATTATTAATATATTAATACTAATAAAATTAATATTAATATTAATATTATTAAACATAATCTTGTAGTCTTTGGTACTGTGGATGATTCTGGAAATATTAATAATAGTTTAATAGTTTAACTTAATTTTTTTAGGTCAAATGTTTAGTAGAATAATAATGATAATAAAATAAAAAATAAAAAATATACATGGCATCCTAATCATAACACACTTGTTGATAACCTGCTAAAAATGTTAATTGCTCTTTTTTTGCAAGTTCATGGATTAATTTGGAGCTTATTCGAGTTTGATGGCTTAATTACTATCTCCCAAATAGTTTAATGGTCTATTTGTACCTTTTCTCATTTTTTAACCAAGTCAAACAACTAATAGTGGTCAAATAAGCCAAAATTGGGACTAATTATTGTGTGGACCATGGTCCACATAATTGTGCGGATCATGAATATCAGGTACATTTTAAATATATTAAAAGTACATTATTTTTGTACTGACGCTACATTATTTTTGTACTAAAGGTACATTATATAAAATAATGTACCCTTAGTATATTAAAATGTACTTTCAAAAGATGTACCTTACGTACATAAATAATGTACACTTAGTATATTAAAAATGTATTTTTTATTTATGGTCCACACAATTGTGTGGATCATGGTCCATGCAATAATGATTGCGGCAATTTATATCTTGCACCAGGGCGCACATTGCATTGTGCGCCCTGATGCAAAACGACGTCGTTTCAATTTTTTTTTTTTTTTGAAATTTCGCTACCCTGTGTTGGCGGTTAATTTTTTTTAAAAAAAAATTCATGTTAAAAAATGTACATAATTTTACACTAGAATACACATAATTGTATACATGAATGTACATAATTGTATAACAACATACACATACTTTTTTTTTAAAGATAATACATATAATCTAACATAATACATAATATACATAAACTTTTAACAAAATAAACATCAACTCTTAACATAATACACATAAATTTCCTGTTTCGGATGTACATAATTGTTTAAAAAAAGATGTACATGATTGTATAAAAAATGTACATAATTGTATAAACAAATATACATAATTGTATAAAAAATACACATAATCAAGTCAACTCCCTATATAACTTACCAAAACGACGTCGTTTTGGGAGGCGCAGGGCGCACAGTGCTTTGCGTGCCATGATGCAGGGTATAACAATTCAATAATTACAAAATTGGCCTATAGGCCAACTATTTTACCAAATAGGCCCATTATATTAATGGCTTCAATTCTTTAGCTAGAAGTAGCAATCAAGTAGAAATATTCAGGGCCCCGGCCCTGGAGCAAGGGCAGGCTGGGCCCTTGCCCAGGGCCCATGCTTGGGGGAGGGCCCCATCCTATATCTTATATATATATAGTATATATGTATTGAGTATAAGTAATTTATATATATATATGTACTATTGTAAAGTGAATTAGCTTGGTTGGTAAAATACTTAGATTTCAACCTTATTTAATCAAAGGCCTGTGATCCTATCCATCCCTTCACAATTTAGATTTCATCAACTTCACTTCTCTTGCTTATATTTTAAAAATTTATTTTTATTTATTTTTTGTGTTTAAAGGCCTGTGATCCAATCCTTCCCTTCACAATTTAGATTTCCTCAACTTCACTTCTTTGCTTATATTCTAATGTATATTTTAAAAATTTATTTTTATTGACTTTTTGTGTTAAATACGGAGTAGTATTTTTAATGTAGTTTTTTTTTTTTTTTTTTTTGAAAAGAGCCTGTGCGGCATTTTATTGAAAATACGTTGAAATAGAGTCTGGCGGGCCAGAGTCCGAATACATAGCAGCTGAGTAATTAAAGGCCGAAGTGGCTAAAACATGTGCTAAACAATTATCTGATCTAGGAATAAAACTGATCGAAACATAATCAAAGGAAACCATCCGGTTTCTGCAGGTATCAATGGCATAGCCAAGGTATGAACGAGGTGTATCCTTCGCAAGTGATAAATATTGTTGTAGTGACAGACAGTCTGTTAGGAGGTCTACCGATCTCACTCCACGATCCCATAGCCAAGATAAAACTTCTTTACATGCAATTGCTTATGCCATAAGAGGGGAGAAGCAGTCTATCAATGGCGCCTGTAAAGCTGAGATATACGACCCCTGTTCGTCTAGGAGGATTGCCCCTACAGTGGCTTTATTCGTGGTATGGAAATATGCTGCATCAAAATAACATCTGTTCCGTATGCTTTCATGGGCTACAAGTGAGGAGGTGGTCGTGTGACTTGCGGCAGTGACGGCAGCAGGCTGGCCGTCCATCCCTTGGAGATGTCCGGTGGTTGCCGTGGCAAATCCACGTCGAGCCGGTTGCGGTTGCGTGCGGTCCGGGTGTGCAAGTCGCCATGCCCGGATCGCTGTGGTTACAGTTGCAATTATCTTCCGTGGTCTGGGTAAGCATGCATCCCATACAGCCCCATTCCTCGCTCGCCATATATAATATAATAGGCCCACTGCATAAATAATTCCATCAACATCTAGAATATTTAATACTTCATTAAACCAAACATGGAAAATATCTGTGACAGTATTGGGAATTGGAAGGTGAGATTGTGCCCAAATGTTCATTGTATAATCACATCTGACCAAAGAGTGCATAGTTCCTCATGCATAATCCCACACATAGCACATGTTGGGTCAATTTCTACTCTCTTTATAATCAGGTTCCTTGTAGTGGGTAATATATTACTCGAGGCTCTCCATAAAAATGTTTTCCATCTTGGGGGTACTTTGAGCTTCCATAATTTGGGCCATTTATCAAACATCCCTGTTGTTTGAACATAATTCCCCACTATTCGTCTGTAACCACTTTTAACCGAGTATTCACCTGTTATATATCCATACCAATATCACATATCCTCATAATCCGGTGACACATGTATTTTCAATATTCGTGTCACATCCTCCGGAATAAAAATATCAGTTAAAATGTCATGATCCCATGAACCCGTTTCCTGATCCATTAACCCCATAACAGTTGCCTGCGCCAAGTGTGGTGGTTTTTCAGTTATTATCTTCGCATTATTCTCATCCTGAAGCCATGGATGATCCCATATAAGAGTTGCCTTTCCATCCTCAATCCTGCGCCTAACTCCTCCACAAATTAGTTCCTGTGCAGCCATAATACTACGTCAGCAGAAACTTGGGTTATTCCCTATACAAGCATCAAAGAATGACCCCTTTGGATAGTACCTGACTTTAAATATTCTGGATACCAGCGATTCAGGTTTCGTGAGTAAACGCCAGGCCTATTTCCCCAACATAGCTAAATTAAAGGCATGCAATTCCTTAAAGCCCAATCCCCCATATTTCTTAGGGATACATAATTTATCCCATGCCTTCCAATGGATGCCCTGGTCATCTTTAGATCTCCACCAGTAACGATTCATAGTTCTCTCAATAGCTGTGCAAATATTCATAGGTAATAAAAAGACACTCATAGAAAAGGTGGGCATAGCTTGTGCCACACTTTTCAATAAGACCTCCTTACCTGCTTGTGAAAGCAACTTCTTATTCCATGACCCAATTCGTTGTCTAATCTTGTCATCAATATATGAGAAAACTGCTCTCTTATTCCTGCCCACAAATGATGGAAGTCCTAAATACTTCCCAAAATTCGGAGCCTGCACCACTCCCAAGATACTGGCAACCTCCTCTCTGTCATCATCCCGCGTGTTCTTACTATAGCAAATACTTGATTTATAGTAATTCACTGCTTGCCCAGACATTTCCTCATACACCAATAAACACTGTTTTACCACACCAGCCTCCTGTGCAGTTGCTCTAAAAAAGAGTAAACTGCCATCTGCAAAAAATAGGTGGGATACAGGGGGGGGGGGGGGGGGCTCCCCTAGCTACTCTGCAACCATGTAGATCTCCCCTCGACTATGCCTGTTATAACAGCAATGAAAGTCCCTCAGCACAAATAATAAAGAGATAAGGTGACAGAGGATCACCCTGCCTCAATCCTCGAGTTGGACTGATCTGCTCACTTCGTGTCCCACCAACCTGTATACTATATGAGACTGAGGTTACACATAGCATTATCAACTCCACCCACCGTTCATCAAAACCCAATGCTAGCATCATATTACGTAAGAAGGGTCATTCCATCCGATCATAGGCTTTCGCCATATCCAGTTTCAAAGCCCCCCATCCTGTGATTCCACATTGTTTTCTGTTCAAAAAATGACCAACCTCGGCAGCAATCAAAATATTATCTGTTATTAATCTGTCAGATATAAAAGCGCTTTGGGTGTCAGATATAATATCCCCCATAACTGGTTTCATTCTGGCAACTATAACCTTAGCAATAATCCTGTATATCACATTACTCAGCGCTATCGGTCTATAATCTGAGACCACCTCAGGGGATTTCTTTTTGGGGATTAATATGATATTCGTATCATTTAGGCTAGCAGGAAACGAGCGAGTATTAAGACAATTCACAATATAGGTCGACACATCACCACCCACTACATCCCAAAAATGCTGGTAGAACCCCGGATTCATTCCATCCGGTCCTGGTGCTTTGTCAGGAAACATGAAAAACAGAGCACTCCTAACCTCACTAGCATCAAAGGGCCGCAAGAGCAACTCATTCTGTACCTGTGTTACACGAGAGTCTATATTTCCAAAGAATTCCCCATTATCACTTGGAGAACCGGAGGTAAAGATATTCTTATAATAGTTGAAGATAATATTCCTCATGGCTTCACCCTCAACCCAATCCCCACTATCATTCATAATTTTAACAATAGTATTCTTTTTCTTGCGATGAGATGCATACCTGTGGTAATATTTCGTGTTAGCATCCGCGTTCTTAAGCCAATGTAGTTTTTAAATATATAAATTTTCATATATTTATATTAAACATATTATGAAAATTTTTTTATATTAAATTTTTAATGCAATATCTAAATTTATAAATTTTTATATACTTATACTAAACATATTATGAAAAATTGAATTAAAAAAACTTCAATTAACTCATGTTAACCAAACAAGACACGTAAAAATAGGACGGAGGGGTTATATGATATATTTTGAGATTAAATTATAAAATAAGGGTCAAATAGGCCATTGAATTGCACACAATAATGCAATTAGGCCACTGAACCTAAAAAAACAACAATTAGGCCATTGAACTTACCAATTTCTTTCAATTAGTCTAATTTACAGGTTTTACAGGTTAGTAACAGGTCACCCAAAAATTTAAAATATTTTTTAAAAATAATTAATTAAAATATATTTTAAAAATAAAAACGTTTCTTCGTCTCCATGGCCGCCGGAGACGAAGAAACGTTTTTTTTTTAATATATGTTAATTTATTATTTTTAAATAATAACTTTTTAAAAAATTATTTTAAAATTTTTGGGTGACCTGTTACTAACCTGTAAATTAGACTAATTGAAAGAAATTAATTAGTTTAGTGGCCTAATTGTTGTTTTTTTAAGTTCAGTGGTCTAATTGCATTAGTGTGTGCAGTTGGATGGCCTATTTGACCCTTATTCCAAAAAAAAATTAAAAGATAATTTACTCCGTACCTTTTTATGAATATCTAATCAATGTAATATAGAAACTTCTATCATGTGTCATTATATGTATTCAAATTATTCTTAAAAAAGTTTAAAATTTATCTATTTAAAAGAAAAAGTATTTGTATAAAAAAAAGTATTTATAAAAATCATATAAATAATATAGAAGATGTGTGATTTATAATATGCTTTATGTTCAAACTATTTTATCTAGATAATTATGTTTCATATCTTTTTGCATTTTTTTATTGCATTTTGAAATATTTTAATTTCTTGCTCCTAGTCAAAAAAGATTTTTAGCTTTCCATATGTTTGTAATTATTGTTTTATAAATTTTTAATAATAATTAATTTATTATTTATTATGATAAATGTTATTGTTTATAAGTTTACTCGATTTTAAATTATTTATTCATTTTTATAAACTATAATATTATTTATTTATGAAGGCACTTATACAATTATTTATTATTTTGCGTTAAGGAAAGCACCTAGAAATTTTTTTCATGATTATTGTTGTGTATATAAAATTGTTAAAAACTTGTTAATCTTATTTAAAGTTATTGATATTAATAATTTTTTCCTTATTTAATTTAAATTTTAGGCATGAAATATATATTAACCGGGGCCCTTTTTTTATCTTGCCCCTGGCCTATAAAATGATAGGACCGGCCCTAGAAATATTACACACTTTCTGCAAATGAAGTTGGATGACGGCTGCATTGTATATCTGTATGTATCTTTATTCATAGTATAATTCAAAGCTTGTAAATTTTTCTCATACACGTACGTACGATGAAACATACAATTCCCCGCGGCCTCGATCGATATATATCATTGAAGCTTAATTTCAGCCTGCAAAGCTTTATTCAAAAAGAACAACTTCCAAGGAGGACGCTAATAATAATCTGATCTTAACGGTACTAATCTGTATAGCTTGGATTTATGATACTTTTTGCAGAATCAGAAAACTGAGATAGAGCTACAGTAGTTCCATCAATGTAGCCCAGTAAATTAAAGCCAATTCAAGTGGCTTTGATTTGAAGTTTCCAGTCTCCAGACTAAAAAATTGGAGGTAAGATTAATGGGAATTTGCAAGAGCAGTGATTTATATTATGGATGTTTGAGTTGTGGTGGACAATATGATGGCTACGGAAAAAAATTAAGAATATTTATAGGCTCTTGATACCATGTAAAGAGTAGAATGAATTGTATACTTATGACTTGCACCGAAGGAATATATAGTGCTTTACAGAGAAAGTTACAACAGAAGCATAACTAAAGGCTAAAGAAAAGTAATTAACCCCAAGGAATATATAGTGTTTTACAGGTAAAGTTACAACAGAAGCATAACTAAAGGCTAAAGCAAAGTAAGTAACAAAACCAGAAAAGTAATTAACAAAACCAGAAAGTTAAGCAGAAGAATAGTTCAGGGTATATGTTTAACAGTATATATCATTGAAGCCGAATTTCAGCCTGCAAAGCTTTATTCAAAAAGAATGACTCTAAGTTGGTGGCAACCAAGGCATGAAGTTGAGCAATCGCCTCAGGAGTAGCAAACGACACATGCGAAGACAACACAACGTTGTCCAACCCGAAAAGCTCCCTCGGCACATTAGGCTCGTCTTCATAAACATCCAGACCAGCCCCTCCAATCTCACCGCTCACCAACAGCCTAACCAGTTCCTTTTCGTCGACGAGAGGGCCACGGCCGACGTTTATGATGATGCCACCCTTTCCTAGCGCCAGCATGACGTTCTTGTCGACAATGTGGTGGGTTTCTTGTGTCAGCGCACAGCAAACGACTAGGATGTCGGAGTTTGAAGCGAGATGGTTGATGTTTTCGTAGAAACAGAAGGGAATGTTGGGTTTGATGTTCTTTGAGGTGTAGGCAATGGTGCAGCCGAAGGCCTCCAGTCTTCTGCTGATCCTTAAGCCAATGCTCCCCAAACCCACAATCCCAACCCGCTTTCCCCCTACCTGTACGTGTAATATAATGCCAGTGTTACATACATTAATTTTGCATTAGTACGTATACCTCAATTTTGTCTAAAGTAATACTATATTACTCCCACTTTCTACTCACTTTTTTACTCTGAGTTGTTTGATTGGTTTAAAAAACAAAGTAACTGTTTTTATTCATACTCTTTTAGCAACCGTAAAACCATGCAGGTCAATCAGTAAATAAAGGCAAGAGTGGGCATTCTGATTCTTTTTCTTCTATTACGATAAAACTTGTTGGATGAAAACAGCTAGTGCTCCTAAATGAAGCCTTTCTCAATTATATGATAACGCAAAATGTGTCTTCTTTCTTGATGCTTTCGCATGGAGGGGGTTTGGCTGATGATGGATTGATGGGGCCCATTTGGCAAGATCGACTACAGGCTATCAATCGTATGTTATACCATGGATTAGGGTTGGGTTCACACGGTACTGTGGACCATAATTTATGTGTTTGTGTTTTGTTTTATGACATTTTGTGTCTTGGGTTATGTACCTCGAATAAATTAGTAATTAGTAATTATATCTTGTACCCACAATGCAAAATCAGTACATACATTATGTGCGCCGTGGTCCAGGGTATAACGATTGCAACTAAGGTTCCAAGGCCAACCTGGCCCACTCATTTGTTTTTGTTTGAAAAAGAGTTAATTTTATTTTTGGTCCTAAATTTATAGGTGATAATTCACTTTTAGTCTTTTTTTTTTCAGAATATTCACATTTGTTCATAATATTATTGTTACATGACCATTTTTTGTTCACCGTCAACAAAATTGTTTTTGTTTTTTTTTTGTTAGACCACGAAGTGTCCTGAGCAGACTCTAACTGTAGGAGGCACCTGTAAGCCCACTGTCAACAAAATTGTTAAAATGCCGTTAAATACAAAGACATTTTGATCTTTTTTATACAAAGTAGGTTGACCCGTTATATTTTTATTTTTATTTTGAAAAAAAATCATAATTGAAGACCTAAATGTCCTTGTATTTTATAAAATTTAAGCAGTTTTGTTGGTGAATGACTAAAAATGGCTATGGCACAATAATACTAGAACTAAATGGGGATGTTTTAAAAAATGACTAAAAATAGATTGTCACCTATAAATCTAGGACAAAAAAAATGAAATTAACTCTTTGAAAAATTAAATATAAGTAAAAACTATTTAAAGAATCAATAATTGGATAATAAAATGGTTTAGATATATAGTTTAAACACATATTAATATTTTTTTAAAAAAATAATAAGGAGTCTAGATAATTTAAAATAAAATTAGTACGAACTTTAAAAATTCTAAATACAAAAATTTGAACATAACTTTTTTTATGTTATTATTAATATATTCCTCATATCAAATTTTACTTTTTTATACAAGTTTGTTAGGAAATAATTTAAAATTTCAGTTATTTTATTATTTTCTTTTAATATGACTAGTTAGTGAATTTTATTACTATTATGTTCAAATAATATAATCATTATTTATTTTTTAACATAAAAAGTGGGGTTGACCAAATCTAATGGGACAATGTGGGTTTTTAAAAACTCCGCCTAACGCAAGTTTAGGAATGGGGAGGATAGGAAAGCATCGATTATTATCAGCTGTGTCGACCCTAGTATATTCAATACACGAATAATATACTTTTAATATATTAAAAATATACATTATATGCATTATATTTAAAAAAATACATTATTTGAGTACTAAAAATATATTATTTTATATAATATACATTTAGATTAATATTTTTCAATATATTAAAAATGTATTTTTGTTATGATCCATACAATAATTTATGAGGGTGGCATGAGTCAATCAAGCGGTGACTGTAGTCAATCTCAAGTCTCAACCCATTATTGTCACTCTTAATTTGAAATATTTACATTAATAGATTTCGTATTCTAATATTAAAGATAGGGAAAGTGGCACTTTTTCCCCCTAAGTTATATACTTATAGCGCTTTTTCCCCTTGAATTATTCATGTGAGCACATTAGCCCCCTCAATTATTTTAAAAGTGGTGGTTTTTCCCCCTAATATATTTTATTGACATTTCTACCCTTAAAGTAAACATTTTATTTATTTTTCCTTTTTAATAAATTATTGCGTATACATAGGGATGACCACGGTTCGATTCGAATTGAACCAGACACTATAGCAATCGAATTAAAAGTTTCCGGTTATGATTCAGATCCAGAACCCAATATTTTAATTTCAATTCATTAAAATTATGAATCGTAAAAACTGGATCCTGAACCGTGATCCGGCGCGCGGTTCTAGATCCGGTTAGCGATTTTGAACCGTCTTTATTTTTAAAATTTTAATTTTTTATTTTAAAATAGTCTAAATTCAACAATAAATGTATTTTATTTTTTTCAGTTTGGACCATGAACCGGCCGTCCTGGTTCACGATTTTAATAAAATCTAAATATCGGGTTTCGATTCTAAATTGTAATTAAAATATTTCAGTTTGATTTATATAGTGTCTGTTTGGTTTGAACCAACTTGTGGTCATAATTTGTTAGAGAAAAAAATAAATGAAATATTTATTTTAAGGGTAAATATGTCCATTTAACATTTCAGGAGGAAAAACAGCCACTTAAATAATTCAGGGAGGAAAAGTGCTATATGTATATAACTAAGGGGGAAAAAGTGCCATTTTCCCTTAAAGATATATTTGTATGGGAATATTTGAAGTTTAGATACAAATTAATTGTCTATGAATTATCGTAATACACATTTAATGTGAATATTCAATGTGAGGGGTAATTTTATATGTTGAAATTTGAATGTTAATCACATTTCTATTCCTAAATCCAATCAAATACTAAAAATACATTTTCTAAATCCATCTGTTATGCAAAGCAAACAATGAAAATGAATTCCAACTAGGCCTATTGTTCCACTACTAATGGAATAAGAGTCTTATTTGTTTAAAATTCATTCCTAAACCAAACGTGTTGTTAGCTTGATTAAAATAAACCTTAGCTTTAATTAAGTTTATTTTTGATTATTTTTTCCACTTTTTGTCCTTATTACTTTACAAAAATGATTTCTTAATTAGAAGAAGAAGAATAGTTAAGTCATAAAAGGTAAGGATAACCAAAAAAGAAGGGATGACTTTGCTAACCTTGGAACCGACTGGAAACTCTCCTTTCTTAGGCCACGAAACGGCCCGAACAAACCGGTCGGCGGCGGAGACCCGGCGGAGGACGTCAATTAAGAGCCCGATGGCGAAATCAGCGACGTCATCGGAGAAAGAGTCTCCGGCAGTGGTAACGCGGATGCCCCGGCGGCGGCACTCGGCGAGGTCGAAGTGGTCGTAGCCGGCGCTGGAGCCCACAATGCACTCCAGCGACGGGTACCGGTCCAAGGTCTCGGCGGTGACCCGCGACGGCCCCAGGCAGAGCATAACCCGAGCTGATTTCGAGAGGGTCGGGAATGACAGGTCGGATTCATCGAGCGGGTCCAGAATCCGGTACTGGCCGGATTGGAGGAACGGAAAGAAAGAGGATTTAATCTGGGGAATACGATGGATGAGGAGTAGCGGCGGCGCGGTGGTCACCTTGGAAGGCGGTGGTTGCTGGGAGACGGTGGTTTCCATCATTGCAGGCGCCTTGGAAGTAACGCTCACCGCTTTCTCCAATGTTTGATTAATGTCGAACTCTTCACCTAATACTACTTAACGGTATATAAGTACATAACTAATCATTTTTATTTAAAATTTTATTAAATAAATTTATATTCATTTATAATGTAATCATGTTGTAACGAGCTATGAACAGATACTATATTGTAACAAAGTCAGTAGTACTAAAAAAAAATGTCAATGTAATTTGAAATAAGAGTTAAATAGGTCATGGAATTGCACACAATAATGCAATTAGATCACTGAACCTAAAAAAATAATTGAGCCCCTAAACTAATCAAATTCATTCAAGTAGTTCAATTTACAAGTTTTACAGGTTAGTAACAGGTCATCCCAAATTTAAAATATTTTTTTAAAATTATTATTTTAAAATTATTATTTAAAATTAAAAAGAAAAAAGAAGAAAAAAAAAAAAGAAGAAAGAAACACGTCTCCGCTGGAGACGAAGAAGGTTTCTTCGTCTCTATGGCCGGTGTTGGTTTTTGGGTTTTCGGGCCCAGGGAGGTCCAACACAACCTTGGTCGGTGGATTCACCTTTCACATGCGGCTTGTAGGAAAATAAGTAGAAAATATAACTCGATGCTTTTGTACGTGGAAACCGAAAGGAAAACCACGGGCCTTTTTGGGCGGTGCCAAGCCTAAAGACTTTCACTATTTCTGTAGGTATTTGTACATGTATTTGTATAGAGTGTATGATGTAAGAATGTGGTTGCCTCTCTTTCTTTCATGTATTGGAACTTCTCTTCTAGTAAAAATGGAGTCTTCTTGAGTGAGAGTGGAAGAGTGGCGTAGGAAGAGTGATGGGGTCTTCCATTGTGCCCAAGAATGGAATCTTCTTCATGTGGTCTTCTTGCTTGAATGAATGGAGAGTGATTGTGGGAGAGTGCCCCCATGTGTGTGGATGAGTGAATGGATCCCCTTTCTTCTTGTCTTCTCCTCCTTTTATAGCTAGCCCATCCCAAAAAGTGTCCGTTGGACCATTTAGTAAGGGATTTATGAGTGGTTTCAAGAGGGTAGTGAATAGGTGTTTATGTTGGGGGTTATGGATAATAATAATAATAATAATAAGATAATTGACTAGTGGTAATAAGTGGGGTAATAATAGGGTAGTAAATGGGCTAACGGCTAGTTTTAGGCCGACCCCATACCCGTGCCGATTCCACACTCGCCGCCGACTCCTGGACCGAGCCGACTCCTCGGTTTGACCCGTATCTCTTTTGGGTTTGCTCCATTTTCTTCTTGGGCTTCTCTTCTTCGTCTGGGCTTTATCTACTTTCTTTTTGGGCCCCGAGCCCACGGGGTTCACACCCCATCAACTAGTCCCTCACTTTTCTATGTCTCGTGCTTAGCAGGGCATGGAAAAGTATATTGTCTTGCCTCAAAATTTCCTTTATTAGCCTCCTCGATTTTTGCCGATTCTTTATTTCAACATTCCACACGACTCCATCCTCATGACTTCTCTTTGTTTGCCGTATGACCGACCGCTTCAGTGGATGTGACCTTCTGGCTCTGAGCCCCTTTCTCTTTAGCCGTCGAAGTGAATCTTGGCTGTAACTTTCTCTTTCTTTAATAAACTTCTAAGGGTTCGGACCCTCGATTCCTTCTTTATTCGCCGAGTCCCTCAGTCGAGGCGACTCTTCGGTGGTAGCTCCTTTTCCCTCTAGAAATGTCTAAGGGTCGGAACCCTTGTTTCTTTTCTCTTTTTCTCTAGAAACGTCTAAGGGTCGGAACCCTTGTTTCTTTTCACTTTTCTCTAGAAACGTCTAAGGGTCGGAACCCTTGTTTCTTTTCTCTTTTTCTCTAAGAAACGTCTAAGGGTCGGAACCCTTGTTTCTTTTCACTTTTCCTCCAAGAAACGTCTAAGGGTCCTGGCCCTTGTTTCTCTTCTCTTTTCTTTGCCGAGTCCCTCGGTCGAGGCGACCCATTAGGCTTTTTCTATCTCAGAAACAGTTCAGGGTCAGTGCCCCGCCGTTTCTCTCAATACTCGCCGAGTCCCTCAGTCGAGGCGACTCCTGTAGGCTTTTTCTCGGAAACGTCTAAGGGTCTGGGCCCTTGTTTCCTATCTTTTCTTGCCGAGTCCCTCGGTCGAGGTGACCCATTAGGCTTTTTCTATCTCAGAAACAGTTTAGGGTCAGTGCCCCGTCGTTTCTCTCAATACTCGCCGAGTCCCTCAGTCGAGGCGACTCCTGTAGGCTTTTTCTCGGAAACGTCTAAGGGTCTGGGCCCTTGTTTCCTGTCTTTTCTTGCCGAGTCCCTCGGTCGAGGTGACCCATTAGGCTTTTTCTATCTCAGAAACAGTTTAGGGTCAGTGCCCCGTCGTTTCTCTCAATACTCGCCGAGTCCCTCAGTCGAGGCGACTCCTGTAGGCTTTTTCTCGGAAACATCTAAGGGTCTGGGCCCTTGTTTCCTATCTCTTCTTGCCGAGTCCCTTCGGTCGAGGTGACCCATTTGGCTTTTTCTAAGGGTCCTAGCCCTTGTTTCTTTTCATTTTCTCTCGCCGAGTCCCTGCTCGAGGCGAGTCCTGGCTTTGATTATTCTTTTCTAACAAACTTCTGAGAGCTTGGACTCTTGGTTCTTTCTTTACTGACTCGCGTCTTTTAGTCGGGGTGATTCTCGGTTGTAGCTTTACTTTTCCTTCCTTTATGTAGCCCCTTGTAGATGAGAAATACCATGAGCAATATCTTGGAATATATTTTCTTGCCATGCCCAGAATATATCCAAGTCTATTGTGCGGCACATGTGACTGGAAATTAAGCTCGCCATATGTCGAAAAATCCATCCTTCAAACTCGCGTGAATGATAATACTCAGGTAGTCGGTTTTGAAGCACCTTAGTATTTCCCACCGAGTTGAAAAAATAGTAACGCTGGGGCGAGAGGAGTCGAGCCCTGGCCGCCTTTTTTCTTCCCAAACCTTTTACCAATCCTACGCAATTGAATTTTTGAATCTCCACGGGATTGAGTATAACACTTTTCAAGGTGCACTAGGACAGTCGTGGGCAGGTTACAAGGTGTGTCCTGCTTTAAGATTTTTCCGCCAAATAGCTCCAGTTTTGAGACCATCATCAATCAGCATGCAAATAGGAAATTATTCCATGTGCAAGTGTGTATGGAAATGGCAAGTTGACAAAATTGCTCATTCTTCTCCCTTTCTTTAAATATGCTATGTACGTTATTCTTCTTCTTTCTTTGCAAATCTACCGCACATTATTCTTTCCTCCTTGTACTTTTCTTCATTAGACAAATTAACTTCAAACTTTCTCTGTCTGATTTTTGATCGCAGAAGAGCGGCTGACTCAGCATTAGAAGCATTATTTTTCGATTTCCCTTTGCTACCGGAAGAGCCATATGACAAACCAGGTAATCTTATTATCAGAACATCCCCAATTTCAATTTCTCCTGGCCGGATCTTTGAGCCTTGATGAAGTTTCCATCTTCTTCCGAATATATCATAAACATGAAGAGCAGGGTCTATGATTTTTTGATACCGGGTTCTGGAGCCTGCTGCTGCCCTCATCGTTCTCCAATTTAGTCCGAGAATAGCGGCAGCTCCTCTTATCAACCACGAGCGACTCCGTCGAGCAATCGCCGGGGACTCTGCTTGTCATTCGAGCAACGCCGGATTTCTTCCACAGCGCGTGAGCAGGCGGCGAGTGTGTCAAAGGCTTCCGAGAGAGGATCACGCTGGCGGCGAAGCGGCCAGAATATTGCTCACTTAGTCGGATCCTTGATGGGCAATATCCGACTCCGGCTTTAATCAGTAGACTGATACTTATTCGGGAATTACTCTTAGTGATTGTGTTGCCGACTGATTTTTGATGACTCTGAGGACTTCTCGCCTGTATGGACGAGGAGTCGACTGTGACGAGGCTGTTCATGGTTGGTCGGCAGTTACGTCTGTGTCGCGTACGGGTAAGTCCTTAAAGGATCCAATTGCGTTGTCATGTTGAGATCACTATTTGCCACGTCTAGATCACAAGATTCTGATCGTTTCTCACAGGCCTAAGCCCTGCTTTGTGTCTTCCCTGTAAGCTTCATTTTTCCCTCATAATCAGTCTACCATTTTTGTAAGGAGAAAGCTTCTTACCCAGAACGCTTCGTTGACACATCATCGGCGATTACACACAATACGAAAGGGATGAAAGTCCATAAAATCAGAGTGATAATCGGAGATATGGTGGATTAGTTGTGAGCATTTCACAATGAAGACGTGAAACATAACGAAGTAGCTGACTCCTTCTGCCATAATAGATGCCCGACTCCCCTTCAAGTGGGATTTTCTTTTTCTCCACTTTATATCAGAATACGGATCTATTCGCCAATGATGACGGTGGTGGTGCATGCAGACTGCGATGGCAAAAAGGTGTGCTTGCAACCTCTTCGTCATGGTGGCGGCTGGGCTAGCGATCTGGTCGGTGGTATATTCTTCGCGGTGGAGGGGGAGTCGGCCGATCAGATTTCTCCAGCGAGGCAGAACCACTCGGACTCTATCAAGCCCTCCGGCGACCAGGCGGTGAAGGGGCATCGACTGCTAGGATTTTGCAAGTGGCGCGGCCGGACTCGGCGTGGTTACGGAGGTAGGAGTCGAGAATGCGGCGGAGCATGGCGATGAACTCCTCTTGCTTGAGAGTTTTTTTTTTTTTTTTTTTTTTTTTTTTTTTTTTTTTTTTTTTTTTTTTGAGGTTGATGAGCAAACGACCGCGTTTGCATGACTCGGCGGACTCGACGAACTGCGTAGCGTCGGAGGAGAGAGACCAGAACCAAGGTGTCTTCTCCGGTCTTGCTCTGGTGGTAGGCTATGCGTTCCCTTCCCATGGAAAGGCCTCAGTTACTGTGTGGAGAAGAAGGAATTCACAAGAGTATCCCCATAGTTTTTCCTTACATGGGAGTCGGCAGATTCGATTTCATCTATTATGTGAAGAACTCATATCCTTCGGCGAACACCCTGGCGATACAA